CCCACTCACACACACACACATCTGTGTCTCTTCATCTCTCTCACACACACACACACACATCAGTGTCTGATCATCTCCCACACACACACACAACAGTGTCTGATCATCTCTCTCACACACACACACAACAGTGTCTGATCATCTCTCACACACACACACACACAGACACACACACACACATCAGTGTGATCATCTCCCACACACACAACAGTGTCTGATCATCTCACACACACACAGACATCAGTGTCTGATCATCTCTCACACACTCACAGACACGCACACTCACAGACACACACACACATCAGTGTGATCATCTCCCACACACACAACAGTGTCTGATCATCTCACACACACACAGACATCAGTGTCTGATCATCTCTCACACACTCACAGACACGCACACTCACAGACACACACACACATCAGTGTGATCATCTCCCACACACACAACAGTGTCTGATCATCTCACACACACACAGACATCAGTGTCTGATCATCTCTCACACACTCACAGACACGCACACTCACAGACACACACACACATCAGTGTGATCATCTCCCACACACACAACAGTGTCTGATCATCTCACACACACACAGACATCAGTGTCTGATCATCTCTCACACACTCACAGACACGCACACTCACAGACACACACACACATCAGTGTGATCATCTCCCACACACACAACAGTGTCTGATCATCTCACACACACACAGACATCAGTGTCTGATCATCTCTCACACACTCACAGACACGCACACTCACAGACACACACACACATCAGTGTGATCATCTCCCACACACACAACAGTGTCTGATCATCTCACACACACACAGACATCAGTGTCTGATCATCTCTCACACACTCACAGACACGCACACTCACAGACACACACACACATCAGTGTGATCATCTCCCACACACACAACAGTGTCTGATCATCTCACACACACACAGACATCAGTGTCTGATCATCTCTCACACACTCACAGACACGCACACTCACAGACACACACACACATCAGTGTGATCATCTCCCACACACACAACAGTGTCTGATCATCTCACACACACACAGACATCAGTGTCTGATCATCTCTCACACACTCACAGACACGCACACTCACAGACACACACACACATCAGTGTGATCATCTCCCACACACACAACAGTGTCTGATCATCTCACACACACACAGACATCAGTGTCTGATCATCTCTCACACACTCACAGACACGCACACTCACAGACACACACACACATCAGTGTGATCATCTCCCACACACACAACAGTGTCTGATCATCTCACACACACACAGACATCAGTGTCTGATCATCTCTCACACACTCACAGACACGCACACTCACAGACACACACACACATCAGTGTGATCATCTCCCACACACACAACAGTGTCTGATCATCTCACACACACACAGACATCAGTGTCTGATCATCTCTCACACACTCACAGACACGCACACTCACAGACACACACACACATCAGTGTGATCATCTCCCACACACACAACAGTGTCTGATCATCTCACACACACACAGACATCAGTGTCTGATCATCTCTCACACACTCACAGACACGCACACTCACAGACACACACACACATCAGTGTGATCATCTCCCACACACACAACAGTGTCTGATCATCTCACACACACACAGACATCAGTGTCTGATCATCTCTCACACACTCACAGACACGCACACTCACAGACACACACACACATCAGTGTGATCATCTCCCACACACACAACAGTGTCTGATCATCTCACACACACACAGACATCAGTGTCTGATCATCTCTCACACACTCACAGACACGCACACTCACAGACACACACACACATCAGTGTGATCATCTCCCACACACACAACAGTGTCTGATCATCTCACACACACACAGACATCAGTGTCTGATCATCTCTCACACACTCACAGACACGCACACTCACAGACACACACACACATCAGTGTGATCATCTCCCACACACACAACAGTGTCTGATCATCTCACACACACACAGACATCAGTGTCTGATCATCTCTCACACACTCACAGACACGCACACTCACAGACACACACACACATCAGTGTGATCATCTCCCACACACACAACAGTGTCTGATCATCTCACACACACACAGACATCAGTGTCTGATCATCTCTCACACACTCACAGACACGCACACACATCAGTGTCTGATCATCTCCCACACACACAACAGTGTCTGATCATCTCTCACACACACACTCACAGACACACACACACGCATCAGTGTCTGATAATCGCTCTCACACACACACTGTCTGATCATCTCACACACACACACAGACATCAGTGTCTGATCATCTCTCACACACACACACACATCAGTGTCTGATCATCTCTCACACACTCACAGACACGCACGCACACACTCACAGACACACACACACACGCATCAGTGTCTGATCATCTCTCACACACTCACAGACACGCACGCACACACTCACAGACACACACACACACGCATCAGTGTCTGATCATCTCTCACACACACACACACACACACACACACAGAGCTGGGTAGATTACTTACAAATTGTAATCTGTTATTGATTCTAAATTACAAGACAGAAATTGTAGTTAGTAACATAATCCATCACGTTACACGATTTAGGTAATATTATCCGACTACTTTTAGATTTTCACCTAACTTGTTTATCACATTGATTTAAATAGTATAGTCTTACCAAATTGATATAAAAATGTGAAGAAAAAGAAAATATTCCATTCGTTCTTATTGACAATATGAAGTGTATTAAACGTTACATCATATCAAAGTCTCCCAAACTGGGGTTCATAAAGGAACTGCAGGGGTTCGTGAGTTTACTGAAAATCATAACAATGTCAAATTAAAATAAATAATTTTAAAATAACCGCAATCAAAATATAACGCATACTAAATACATTAAATATTCTGTTTGTTTACCTGCATGTCATGTGATCATTAACCAATGCCAGAGAACCGTGAACATGCAAATGTGATGCTAATTATTAACTTATTACCTTAAAATCTCAGGGGTCTTCAAATAATATCCAGTCAGTCTTCAGTGTCACATAATCCTTCAGAAATCATTCCAATATGTTGATTTATTATCAGTGCTGTTCTTTTTAGCTTTCTATTCATCAAAGAATCCTGAACAAAATGTCACCGGTCCCAAAAAACATTAAGCAGCGAAACGGTTTCCAACACTGGTAATAAATCAGTATATTAGAATGATTTCTGAAGGATCATATGACTCTGAAAACTGGAGTAACAGCTGATGAAAATTCTGATTTGCATCACTGAATTAAATAATATTTGAAAGTATATTAATTATGCATTATATATGTATATAACCCTTGACACGGAGAAAAACTCCTCACATGACCGCTACCGAACATAACCAAACAAATGCACATTGACGGATCATCTTCCGTAAACAAATGTATATTTCTGCAAGCGTAAATATTGTGAAAATATCAATATTAATTGTGTCTAGGCAAAGGCATTCCTCCTGGAACAGAGCTGTTCATTTCATACTCCGTGACCGCTTATTTACTGTGTAAATTACACATTGTATTTAATGTATAAGGTACATGTACAACAAACTGGTAATGTTTTAGTGGTATCATGTACTGTAATCAAATGTATATCTATATACTAGAGAGTATATCTAATCGAATCTATACCTGTGGAACCGTAGACAGCACACGCAGGTGTTCATCTAATAAAGATCTGTTTAATGCAGGACATGAATGCATTTATATTATGCATTATGCATATATATGTTCACACCAGCAGATAAAAACATTTATTTATAGAGCTGCAGTTTTGTTGCCTGTCACTTTAAATGCTGGAGCTCTTTAAAGCAGGATGGATTCTGATTGGCTGTCAATGTTTATATCCCTCATGTGCAGAAAAATGATTGATTATTGTTGTGTGTGTGTGTGTGTGTGTGTGTGTGTGTGTGTGTGTTCACATGACCGCTACCGAACATAACCAAACAAATGCACATTGACGGATCATCTTCCGTAAACAAATGTATATTTCTGCAAGCGTAAATATTGTGAAAATATCAATATTAATTGTGTCTAGGCAAAGGCATTCCTCCTGGAACAGAGCTGTTCATTTCATACTCCGTGACCGCTTATTTACTGTGTAAATTACACATTGTATTTAATGTATAAGGTACATGTACAACAAACTGGTAATGTTTTAGTGGTATCATGTACTGTAATCAAATGTATATCTATATACTAGAGAGTATATCTAATCGAATCTATACCTGTGGAACCGTAGACAGCACACGCAGGTGTTCATCTAATAAAGATCTGTTTAATGCAGGACATGAATGCATTTATATTATGCATTATGCATATATATGTTCACACCAGCAGATAAAAACATTTATTTATAGAGCTGCAGTTTTGTTGCCTGTCACTTTAAATGCTGGAGCTCTTTAAAGCAGGATGGATTCTGATTGGCTGTCAATGTTTATATCCCTCATGTGCAGAAAAATGATTGATTATTGTTGTGTGTGTGTGTGTGTGTGTGTGTGTGTGTGTGTGTGTGTGTGTGTCTGTGTGTTCGTGCAGCAGCAGACTCATGCCGCCTCCGTGTGCTCCGGGGCCAGTCGACGGTCCGAGAGCTCAGAAAGCAGACGAGAAGACGCCGGCGCCGAGCCTTCTGGGTAAGACAGCCGCTCACACAGCTAGCTCATAATCACTCACGCTGATGCTCTCTGCATGCAGATGTGAGGCTGCAGCGGCGGAGGACTGTACGCTAGCTACAGGTAAAGCTGAAGCGTCTCGCTTCCTCAGGAAATGACACGCTTCAGCTTCTCCGCCCCTCATTGGTCAGATGTGTTGAGTGAAGCTCCTCTCCCGAGCGGTGATGTCATCAGCCGTGTGGCTGCCACACTAACGGCCGTCTCTCTTGTGTTTTGTGTTCTCTCTCTTTCTCTGTGTTTTTTCCCTCTCTTTCATGTCTCCGGATCCTGCGGGGGTGGGGCCTGGATCCTCGACACCGCCTCCTGATTGGACGCCCCCCGATGACGTGTGGCTGTCGTCCAATCCCGCGTTTGATTAACTGTGCTGCTGTGGCGTGTTGTTTGTCTGTGTGTTTCTGGTCTCTCTCGTCAGAGCCGCAGGTGAAGCGCGCGCGGATGGGGCTCGTGGCGTATACTGGAGACTCCTCCGACGAAGAAGAGGATCATGGAGCCTTCAGAGCGGCCGGAGCCACAGGATGGACATACCGCTGCCCTTCATCACCGCCCACACGGCCCAAAACACAGACGCAGACGCAGCCCATGCCCTTCTGGATGGCACCGTAAACACACACACACACACACACACACACACACACATCATGTTCATGCCTCCTAAAGACTGTCCTGTGGGATTATGGGAGGATGGAAGAGCGATGGCCGCTCATGTGACACTGCAGGATCGCGTGTCTCATCACTCTGCTTTAGTTTCTCTTCATCAGTTTGATTTGTAATGTTACTTCTTCTGAGATGAATAAACACATGCATTGGCTCACACACCGTTTCCTGTTTAATCTCCTCCACACGTCCCTTAATAGTAGGGTTGGGAATCGAAAATCAATTCCAGTTCCTGAATCGGATACTTAAGGTCAGGAATCGGATACTTGTTGTAAAATTAAAATTTCAATTCCGGCTATCAATACATGTGTGCACATATCTTTATTAGGTGGTGAAAATGAGCTGTTAAAAATGTATTCGTCTTTGATTCATTCATTCATTCAAGAGATTCATTCAAAAGCACTGATTCATCCAGGAATGAAACGAGTAAATCTCGAGTGAGTAATTGAATCATTCCATTCATAACTTCCATGAGATTTTGTTTAGTTGTCTAATATTTTTTCTTCAGAATTGTGAGAGAAATACAACCTCCATTAAAAAAGAAGCGTGCTGCTCTATTTTGCACACAAACAGCTCTTAATCGAATCCAGTTTTTATGCAGACGGCTGATTTTTGTTCATGGTATTCAGCAGCAATTAAATGTTTTGCAAAAAAGAGACATATAAACATACAGACAATAAACATGTTTGATATCTAAATGTCTGACTTTTTTTTTTTTTTTTACCACATTGGAATCGAATGTTACGATCATAATCATATGTGTAAGCCAGGTTAAGGAGATGATTCATTAATAACATATAGTTTATGATTAATAACTAATCGTAAAGGTGTAATAATTGTTCTAGGTCAGAGATCCTCAAATCTGGCTCGTGAGATCCACTTTCCTGCAGAGTTGAGCTCCAACCCTGATCAAACTCAGCTACCTGTGATTTTCTAACGATCCTGAAGACATTGGTTAGCATGCTCCGGTGAGTTTGATTAGCATTCGAGCTAAACTCTGCAGGAAAGTGGATCTCGCGAGCCAGATTTGAGATCCCTGCTCTAGGTGAATAGTGAGCTCACATCACAGTGATAACGATAACGACAGAGGAACGATTTCACTGGAATCACTTTCAGAGTGAATTTTTCCAGCTGATGAGTGATAAAAACATTGACAGCCAATCAGAATCCACCCTGCTTTAAAGAGCATTTAAAGCAACAGATGACAAATTTGTAGTGCAAATACAATCAAATGTGTTCATTAGTTATCATTATGGTTATTGTTATTAGGGGCCAAGTACTGAAGTTGCATAGGCATCTATTGTGTGTTGTTCTTCCGTTCTGGGAGTCAGGCAGCCCATAGAACCATTTGGTAAAAAGTTGTGAAATTTGGCACACGGATAGAGCACAGTCTCAACACTAGCCATAGCAAATTTGGAGTCTCTAACTCAAACCCTCTAGCGCCACCAGCAGTTCAAAGTTGCACATATGTTTTAGGCTTGCCGCGATAGACGGTGCTGACGGTGATACCGGTGTTAAGCCGCAACACCGGTTACGTCACTTGCCCACCGCGGCACCGACCCCCACCGTCGTTTAGATTTTTTATAGTAATA